CTGACAGAGGACCCAGCCCTGCAGCCCCTCATCTTCAGCCTGTTCCTGTCCATGTACCTGGTCACCATCCTGGGGAACCTGCTCATCATCCTGGCTGTCAGCTCTGACCCCCACCTCCACACCCCAATGTACTTCTTCCTCTCCAACCTGTCCCTCACTGACATCTGTGTAAGCACAACCACCATCCCCAAGACGCTGGTGAACATCCAAACACACACCCAGAACATCACCTACACTGGCTGCCTCTCCCAGGTCTGCTTTGTTTTGATTTTTGGTGGTTTAGAAAGTTGCCTCCTTGCAGTGATGGCCTTTGACCGCTATGTCGCCATTTGTCACCCACTGAGATACCCAACCATCATGAACCCCTGCCTCTGTGTCCTGCTGGTTCTATTGTGCCTGCTGGTCACCACTATGAACGCCCTTCTGCACACTCTGACGGTGCTGCGACTGTCCTTCTGCACAGACCTGGGGATCCCCCACTTCTTCTGTGAACTCGTTCAGCTCATCAAGCTGGCCTGTTCTGACACCCTCATCAACAACCTCTTGATTTATTCAGTGACTAGCCTATTTGCTGGCATCCCTCTCTCCGGGATTATTTTCTCTTATACTCAAATTGTGTCCTCTGTTTTGAAGATGCCATCCATGGATGGAAGGTATAAAGCCTTTTCCACCTGTGGGTCTCACCTGTTGGTTGTGTCCTTATTCTATGGCACAGCTTTTGGAGTGTACATGAGTTCTGCAGTGACCGACTCTTCCATTAAGAACGTGGTGGCTTCAATGATGTACATGGTGGTCCCTCAAATGCTGAACCCTTTCATCTACAGCTTGAGGAACAGGGAAATGAAGGGAGCCCTGAGACATCTCATCAGTGGGAAGCCTCCTCTATGATCATGTCATCTTCTTTGGGTTTGAGTTTCCAGATTCAACTGGAGTAACAGAAATAGCGGTGACCTGGCGAACCTTACTTATCCATTATCAAGTTCTTCTAAATATGACTAGATGCATGTTGTCCAATTATCAACTTGGATTTCAGATCTGCATGTGCTTGTTGTCCCCTAGACATGATTTCAGTCTCTGAGCTCCACATTGTTGCTCTAACTCCATCAGGCAGGGCTGAGTTGGGGGTTGTATTGTAGTGGTACTGTATAGATCAATCTCAGACTCAGGACTGTTGTATGAGGTGAATAGGGAAGGGACAGTTTTAGGTAAGACTATGGCAACATCTAGAGACCAGATTCAGTTATGGCCACAAGGGTTACAGCCACAGGTAGATGGATGCTATATGAGGTCAAAGAACTCGACTTTCATACTTGGGAAGTAATTACTGAAATACTCCCCGGAAAGCTGTATCCTTATATTGACACGTTAGCTTCTACCCTACTCAGTTTCATTATTTATAAAATTCACATAATTAGACTATGTCAGGGGTTTGAGATGGTTTTGTGGTATCAGGACTCCATTAGTAAAGAAGATCTGAAGAAAAATTAAAAAAAATAATGACCATATATATATAATATACTGGGGCAAGAAATAGAACTATTTTTTATTATAAGAACTTTAGAAGTTGGTAACATATACTTTCAGATATTAGGGCTTCACTGAGTCCTGCATGGGGTGGCCTCTTCCAAGGACATGTGCTCCTCAGAGTCCCTGGGTGGTTTCAGCAGATGCAGGTGTTGTGCCTGGACATGGGGCCAGAGACAGAAAACAGAGTATCCTGCCCTTGGTCCACTTGTGATCCTGACCTTTCATAACCATAGAATGAATGGTACTTATGTCCAAAGGGGATCTTTGCAGAGAATTTTACCTCAGATCATGTAATCATCTATTTTTATAGAGAGAGAAATTGGATTAATGTGACTGGTTTTTTTCATTATCAGTATTGTACAAAAAAAAACTAACTCCATGGCCATCTAATTCATTGTCATCACCCCTCTGCATTTGGCCCCAGTATACGTTACAGCAATTTGCTTCTTTCTGACTCTGTTAGGGACAGTTTAACGATCTTGACTGAGTTCTGTGTCTCAGCACTCAGGTCACCTCTGCTCTTCTAGATTCCATCAACTTTTAAGTCTAGGACCCATTTATTTATTTTCAGTTCACTCCATTTTACATGATGAGTGGTGACAACAACAAAAAATCAAAATTGCTGTCAATGAAATTTGGGTCTCTGTTTCCTGTAATTGTGAAAAAGGCTAACAGTATTCACTTTCACGTTTCCTGGTTAAAATTAAAGATAATTCTTTATTAGGATGTAATTATTGGTTACAAGTGTGTAGCTTCTTTTCTCAACACTGGGGATTGAACCCAAGGGTACTCTCTCACTGAGCTACTCCCCATCCTCCCAGTCTTTTTATTTCTCTTTGAGACACGGTCATGCCAAGATGCCCAGGCTGACCTGCAATTTTCCTGCCTCAGTCTCGAGTAGTTGGCATCACAGGTATGCAAACCAGTGCCTGGTAAGAGTTGAATTTTCTTCAACCGATTTACAGAGATTAAAAATTTGAAAAAAATCATGCCCATTTCCTCAACCATGAATGTATCTTGATAACCTACATAACAAGCACAGCCTGCCCACCAAACCTGAGTTCCCTAATGAGTTGTTCATAAGGACGATCACATGTTAAAATGCCATCAGATCTCACAGCTGTCAGCATGTACATGTGTATACACAACATGGGATACTATTCAGTCATGAAAACCATGAAATCCTGTCATTTGCAGAAATGTAGATGGACCTGGAATATTTTATGCTAAGCAAGATTAAGATCTGATTAAGCATAGAATGACAAACACAGAACAGTCTCACCGACTACAGGAATCTAACCAAGTGGATATAGACACAGAGAGCAGAATAGTGATCATCAGATACAGGAAGCCCAGTTGCGGGGCGGGGGGAGAAAGGGAGGTCAATCTGTAGGTACAGTGCTAAGGTTTGACATTAGAAAGGAGTTACGCTCTACTACATAGAAGAGTGAACACAATTCACAAAAATGTATTGCATATCTCCAGACTGTGAGAAGAGAGAAACATGAACGTGCCCACCAAAGAAAAATGATAGTATTTTAGGAGACAGGTATGCTAATTGCTCTGAATTATCTGTACTCAATCTACAAAACAGTCAAAACATCATGTTGAACCTCAAAAATACAAATAGTATGAGTAAATGAAAACCAAATTAATTATTTGAATTAAGAAACTAAGTTTTACATGTGTTTTTCTCAACTAATCTGCTCCTCGGATAATTAGTCTTCATGATCTTGACACATGAACTATTTTCTTGCTTTTGAAGACAAATCCAAGAGACCTTGGGCTTCATCCTACTCAGCATATTGTGTTTGCATTTTTAATATTTTTTGAAACTGGGATAATTTTTTTTATTTACTGCCACTGTTCTTTTTGTGGTTTGTGGAAAACTGACTTTGTCTTACGGTTGACAACTTTTAATATTTTATCTAGTATTACTCTTTTGGGAAAAGACTGGTGCTAAGGTGGGGAAGGAAGAAATGACAGTGTCATCTTACTCTAAATTTTAATTAGTGCATCTTAAAAATTATCAATTCATATAGAATGAGTTAACATGGGTTTGGGGGTGTCGCTCAGTGGTAGAGTGTTGACTAGCAGGCACAAGACCCTGGGTTCAATCCCTGGCACCACACACACAAAAATAAATGAGGTTGCATGGTGTCAGATGTGTTGACAAACAGGTGAATATTCTAAAGTTCTTAAACTTGCAAGGTTTACAAGTGAACACAAACATGGAGCAGAACTGCTCTTTGAATTAACGTCAAAATCTGCCCAAATGTGCTACTATAAGGACACATCTGTATACTACTGCCTTTTGGTGATTTTGTAATTGAACTAACACCTCAATTAAAAACAAAGAACCATAATTTCTACTCACTGTCCCCACCTGTGAGTTAAATTACTGAAACTCTTTTGATAATATTGAAAAAATTTTCATAAAATTCTAGCCACCGAGTCATAGTCCTGCCGGTATATTTGTCATTCAGCATTCACCAAATAAATAGGTGAGAATCTCTGTGCAAAATATAAAGAACACAAATTAATGTTCAGTAAACATCAATGATACATGAGAAAAGGCCTCCCTGAAAGCTTGTGTTTTTATAATATCTTAGTTAATATTTATAATTCCATAATTTATACCTATATATAAAAATATATATTCACACCTAAAATAGGAACCAGTGTCCTGACATCAGTAATTTCATAGAGATTCCTTTATGCATAACTTAATAAAAATACTGGAGGTTATTAGAGAAGTGGTGTGGGTTTTGCATGCAAGGCTCGTTAAATGGAGAGGAGTTAGGGTTAGGGTTAGGGATGGAGATGGAGAGAGCTGGATGCTGTACACCCAACTCCAGGGACTAGGAAATCAGCTGTCCTGAATTCCTCACTCCTGTAGGTTGGTCTTTAAGGACATGCACTCCTGGGATCAGAGTTGTAGTGAAATAGCTCTTCTAATTAGGAGCTTTAGATACTGAGCCTCAGAGAGAAAAAGATATAGGAGTCAGTCTGTGAGTCCCTCCCTCAACAGCCCTGCCCCCGTCAGGCAATAACTCCCGAGCCTCTTCTCACAGGCCACCCTTCTTGACCAGGAGCTGCTGACTCATTTAGTCTATCTGTACGTCCGGAGGACAGAGATTTCACCCTCGATTTCCAGGTGAGAAGCTGGACAACATTCTTCTTGAAGTCATCCAGGTAACATCAAGTCCCTTAGCAAATGCCTTGGAAGGGGGTGAGTGGACGACTGTAATCAGACCCTGGGAAGCCGGGAGGAGAGTAAGAATCAGGAAAGAGAACCTGATGGACAACAGCCCCCACCCCTCTCCTGCCCGCTGTGGGACCCCATGACGTGTTCTCCATCACGTTTCTCCCAGGACTGACCCAGTTCCCATTTCCTGGCCTCACCCTGTGCAAGGACAGAGCCCATAACCTTCAGTGCAGGAATCGGCCCCTTCTCCAGTGTCATGACTATTATAAAACATCCTGAGGTTTACTTGAGTTCTTACAGATTTGCTGGTGAGGGGTTTTGTGATCTCTTCGTTGCCAGGGCTGGCATAACCAAGAACCACAGACTGGGCACCATCACAACAGAAATTTATTTTCTTATAATTCTGGAACCTAGACGTCTAAAATCATGGTGTCTGCAGGTGTGGTTTCCAAACAGGATTCGAAGTGGTACTGCTGCTGTCCATACATTTATCATCTTTTCATCCATCTTTTCCATCAGAAACACCATGGAACCCAGAAACCACACAGCTGTTTCAGAATTCCTTCTTCTGGGCCTGACAGATAACCCAGCCCTGCAGCCCCTCATCTTCAGCCTGTTCCTGTCCATGTACCTGGTCACCATCCTGGGGAACCTGCTCATCATCCTGGCCATCAGCTCTGACGCCCACCTCCACACCCCCATGTACTTCTTCCTCTCCAACCTGTCCCTCACTGACATCTGTTTAAGCAACATTGCAGTCCCCAAGATGCTGGTGAACATCCAAACACAGTCTCAGAGAATCATTTATACAGGATGTCTTTCCCAAGTCTGTTTCTTCTTGGTTTTTACTGGCTTGGAAAATTGTCATCTTGCCGTGATGGCCTATGACCGCTATGTGGCCATTTGTCACCCCCTGAGGTACACAGTCATCATGAACCCCTGCCTCTGCACCCTGCTGGTTCTACTCTCCCTGCTCATTAGTGTCCTGCACGCCCTCCTGCACACTCTGATGGTGCTGCACCTGTCCTTCTGCTCAGACCTCCAGGTCCCCCACTTCTTCTGTGAACTCGCTCAGGTCCTCCAGCTGGCCTGTTCTGATGCCCTCATCAATAACCTGCTGGTATATTTTGTGGCTGGTCTATTTGCTGGTGTT